TGAATCCTAGCCCTACCCATGCCCACCCACACCCATAAACCCCCCCACCCCACATCCTTAACTTACCTTTGACAGTGCCAGGGGCAGCAGGAGCACCACAGAGACCCTCTGGCCAGAAACCAAAGTGTCTCTTCTGGAGGACCAACTCCTGGTTTGCCTCCAGGCATGGTTTGGGACTCTGCGGCATGTTTTTTTTGACCCCTGGATATCTAGGGGTCTAATTTTGCTCCTGCGCTGCAAATATGCAGTGCAGGGAACATTTTTTTGTTCCCGCACATATGTGTTGCAGCATCTCAAACCCCTTTGAGATACTGCAAGACGCATGTGTGTGCTCGTCTGGATGTGCCCATGGAGGACAAGGTCACGCTAATCATATATGACAGGCTGAGAGAGGGGTGACAGATTCTGGGTGAACTGTTTAGGATCCCATTTTGTGGTGATTGCCAGATACTTAAAGCTGGTGAAGAAACAAGAATCATTGGAAATGGGAAAGACACAGCTTAGCTGTGGGAATGAAGAGGAAACTGAAATGTTTTCAGTGTGGTAGCTCACCATAACATGAAAAAGATTTGACATTGACGGGGCTGAGCGCAATGGCACTACAATATATCTTGCTCAGGTCAGATAGGCTGCACTAACCTAACTTTATGGTAAGTTCCCAACAGGATGTTTGCCCGATATGGGCCATGTGTTTCATAATGCTCAGTGTTGGTTGTGTTTAATCAGCTTCATAGCTGGTTTCCATTATTGAGCACCTGTTGTTTTTGGCAGGTTTAATGATAGGCAATGTATCCAATTAAGTGAACTTGTATGCAGATGTAAGATGAGGGGCTTCTTTCCCCAAGCTTACTGGGGGGAAAAAAACCCTTGCCATATATTGAGTAAATATAATACTTAGATATGAAGTTTGATGCATTTGTGACTTGTTTCCAAGCATGTGTAGCACCATCCACTTCAGTAGAAAGAATTTTCTCTATTTTCACTTTTCAGTAAAAATTATATTTCACTTTCAAAGTTTTGATTTGAATGTGTGAGAAGTATGGTACTAATAAGTAGTGATTAAGTCTGTGTTTTAATTCAGATAAATTCCAGTAATCAAATCTTGGTTAAAACTGGTAGTTCAAGACTCAGATAAAACTAAGGTGGTTTAAATCAGTGTTTAAACCTACAGTGGTTGAAATTCTCTAGCCATAGTTTAAACGGTGGAAACCAGGTTAAATCTTTAAGCTGTACCCCCTCTGCCTTTCCTACTCCCATCATTCATTTTCCTTATACATATGTTGCCTGTACCTGCAGAAAAATCTATTTCTTGGCCCAAAGGTTAAGCATGGGAAACTTAGGGATAGGAGAAATAAGTATTTTGTGAGACAGCTGCCGATATACAAAAAGGGGCTTTAGAATATAATGATGGAACATTTCATTAAAGGGGATCTTTGATAAAAGCACTGAAGCACTGGATTGATTTTTAAGGACAAAATATTTTAGTCTGAAATAATTTATACAGTAAGATATTTTACATATCGGAAAGACAGAGCAATAACAAATATCCTGATCCATACTTAATGACTATTTTGCAAGTTTTTATGCATCCTTACAACAAGATCAGTGCAGGAGTTAAAGCTTTATTTTCCACATCTTGTATTATGAAGTTTGCCTGCTTTATTGAGATGAAGTTCTCCCTCATACTGGGCATAAGAGGGAGCATGACAAACATGGAAACAAGGTCTGTATGTTAGCTACAGGGATTCTGAATTGAAATAAGTTGTAGATCAGTCCATTGAAAGCCTGTAGGGAGTACTATAAATTAGTACAACTCTAAGAAGTGTCTAATCTATTTTAGGGTTCTCTTTGAGCCTGAGAAGCCCATAATCCAGACAGTAAAAAGATAATAAAAGCCATTTAGACTGTGAACACACATTCAGATAACCGGAGAGAATTCTCCCAGGTTTTCTCTCCAGGTAGAAAATGTTATCCAGAGCTGTGTATACAGACATTTGGGTGCCAAGGCCCTGAAGAGTGGAGAGCTTACAGTGCTGACACTGTGCAGCCAGGCTGTGCATGTATCTCAGTGTGCTCTGCAGGCTCCCTTAGTCTGCCTGGCAACAGATCACAACAGTGTATTAAGGCAGCCCTGATTGGCTGACCCAGACTGCTCATGGTCAGCGTGCATTTCCCTACAGCACACTGTGGGGATTGTGAAGAGGGAGTATTCTGGAGCAGCTGAATCCAGCAAATGACAGTCTCCTTCATGTGGGGGGGACAGGGACTTTGTTCTCTTTTGAGAGAAGCCATGGCATGTACAGACATTTGCTGTCCCTGGCGAAACTGTCCTGGGAGTGATTTAACCCTAGCTGTTTGTTCCCAGGTTATTTTTATCCTGGACTGCCTGTTTTTCCCTGGTAGAAAAAGTCTGAACATTTGTACACTTGTGGTTCCTACTGGGAGAGCAGTAACTCTCTCAGGAAAAACTGAATGCCTGTATGAGGCCTTAGTCTCTTCTCTGGACCGTAAATTCTATTCTGCATCTCACTTAGATGAAGCACAGAATCTAGCCTCTGCGGTATATTCTGAGTTGGATACTGGAAAATATGAAACTCAAACTTATATTTAACTTTTTTCTTTTTTCCTAAAGCGCTATCGAACACCTTCCAGATCCAGGTCAAGGGATCGCTTCAGACGCAGTGAGACTCCTCCACATTGGAGGCAGGAAATGCAAAGAGCTCAAAGAATGAGAGTATCCAGTGGAGAAAGATGGATTAAGGGAGACAAGTAAGACACCATTAAAGTTATTTCTTTTTCTTTTCAATGTATATTGTACATTGGCATTTATGTCAAGATTACAGTAGTACCTGTCTTTTTCTCAGTTTCTGTTGTATGGTAATGACATTTTTATTTTAAGACTAGAGTGAAATTTTGGGTTAGTTAACCCATTTCAGCTTAAATTGTGCTATACCTATTTTAAAGCACAATCATTTTGTTTATGATAAGTATATATAGTCATCAGTGTAGAAGTCATAAAGCAGATGACATTTTATTTCATTCAAAAGTTTTAAAAATAAAAAAATTTCTTTCTTCAAGGAGTGAAATTAATGAAAACAAGAAAGATAATCAAAAAAGCCCTGGTCGAGGAAAGGAAAGAAAAATATCAGACCACAGACAAGCCTCTGAGAGTCCAAATAGAAGAGGGGAAAAAGAAAATAAAATAAAAGATCAAAAATCGAGCAGCAAAGACAGGGAAACAAGGAGGAATTCAGAAAAAGACGACAGATATAACAAAAGCAAGGCTAAGAAAAGAGCTAAATCTAGAAGCCATAGCAAAAGCAGAGAGAAATCAAAAAGTAAGGAGAGAGACTCTAAGCACAACAGACATGAAGAAAAGAGATTAAGATCTAGAAGCAAAGAGAGAGAGTATGAGAAAGGTAAAGAAAAAGATAAGCATCGTGATTCTAGAGGGAGAGAGAAAGAAAGGAGTAGAAGTAAGGAACGGTGTAAAAGAGCAGGTTCAAAAAGTAATGAACAAGATCATAGTAAAAGCAAAGACAGGGAAAAATATGCAAAGTCAAGGAGCAGAGAACGTGACCAGGCTAAAGGAAAACATAGTTCCAATAGTAGGACAAGAGAACGAAGCAGAAGCAGAGACAGGGGGAAGAGAGCCAGATCTAGAAGTAGGGAAAGAGATCGCAGTAGAAGTAAAGAGTATTCAAGAAACAGGGATTCAAGAAGAAGAGGAAGATCAAGAAGTAGAGAGAGAAGAGGCACACCAGAAAAATATAGAGGAAGAGAAAATAGAAGGAGAAGGGAATCAAGGAGCTCTGAGAGAGAAGAAAGTCAAAGCAGACACAGAGAAAGGTATTCAAATAGAGAAAGTAGAAGTTCATACAGAAAGAGTGATGCTGAAAACCAAAGGAAGAAACGTTCAAGAAGTTATGAAAGTAGTAGCCCTGAGACCAGTAAAGATAAAAAGGGCAGTAAAGATCAGGGTAGTAAAGATCAGGATAGAAGCCCAGACTCAAAGAAAAGGCAAAGTAGCAAGGACCGAGAAGTGAAAACATCATTTTCACAGAGAAGTAAAGAAAAGGAGAAGAGCAGATCTTCACTAGAAAAGGAAATCAACCAAAAATCCAAGAGTCAGGAGAGAGACCATGCTCACAGTAAGGATAAAAAGTCTGATCATGAATCAAGTCCTGGAACAGATGAAGACAGACATGGATAAATTTGTGGACTTGGAGTTTCCATTCTGTCTCAACATTTTAGAGGCATTTTGGGGAACACTTTTTTTTTTTTTTTTTTTTTAAATGTGGACTTCAGTTTGGTCTTTTGATAATCTAAAACCTGGATCATTTGTACTGCTAAAGTTTTAATAAACTTGAAATGAAAACAAATTTTGTGTGTAACACAGTGTGCTGTGTTTTAACTATTTTATTGTTTTATGTATCCTTTTGTGTGTTGATGGCCAGGAGGGTACTTTTCTGTTGCATTTACTTTTTAATTTATAAATTTAGTTATCTCATTGCGAACAAATGACTGTTTATATAAAGAGGCATATGTGGTTTTCAGGGGGGAAAAACCTGCAAATATATTAAATGTCTTCTGAAGCTAGTAGAACTCTGCCAGTTGTATTTGTTATTACAGTGTAATTATGTTCATACTATAGTTCGAAGAAAACCTGAGGAAATGGGTTTGCGTGGAATAAAGAGGGATTTTGTAATCACAAAGTGAAGTACTTTGCAATGAATCTTCATTTTACCTGCACTGCTGTCGCATACTTTTGATTAGTGTTAACAGTAGAGTTCATGTGTTCTCTGAGGGAGCCATCTATACTTGTGGGTCATATTTTTGGAATAAACACTGTCATAGAAAATGTTTTATTTTATTTTTACAAAAATGCTAATCATTCAAAGTGAGAGTCTCTATAAACTTTTTTTTCTGTTTTGTGTTTGTCTACTGTGGAAAATTCAACTTTGGGTCTTCACCCAGTTTTGTTGCTTGTTTACAGTGGATACACAGAGATTGAGTGATTTAACTAGGATTCAGTTTGTCTCCGTATTTATTCTTGGAAAGCAGTGATTACTGAATACAACCAAGAACTAGGATTTCCACCTATTTATGATATTTCCTAGTTATTTGTTCAGGAGTGGCAACAACATTAGGAAGAGTAGGAATGGGATGTCTCATTTTCCACAGCCTAAAAGTTTACCCACTGGGGGGAAAGGATAGGTTGCATGCTAGCCAATTATTCCAATCCTAGAAAAAAATTCTAACATTACTATAAACTATAATTGTGCCAGGAAAACATACCTTGTGTTAGAATTTGATTCTGACAAATCTTAATGTTGAACCACTTCATTACATTGGTAACTGGTAGCATTGACATTCAGTGTCAGTATTTTCCTTATATAACATTTCTCAATGTGCATGTGCAAAGATTAGCATTGTCATTAAATCTTGCCTGAATTAAGTTTATTGATATTCAGAAAATCTTCAGGTATGATTTTTTTTTTTTTTTAAGAAGGAAACAAATAGCGTTTTTAAGAAGAAGAAAAAATCCAGGATGATTAACTTATGGACTAGCCTTTAAGTGAATAAACTGCCAAGTTACTTTTTATTAGGAAGTACCTGGGGTTCCTGCATATGTCAAGGAACAACTTTTCATAATGTTTTAAATACACATTTTGCATTGTGGTGCTGTTATTAGGCAGAATAAGCAAAAATACTCATAAAGAATATGTACAAATATAAACTTCAGCTGCTTTACTTGGGGAGTGCTGCTCTGGTTGCAGTACATGTTACCATCAAACTTGCATCTCCATGACCCTATAGTGATTCAAGTTAGCTGAACTGCCCTAACTTTGACCCTGGATGTGCAGGGTTTTGCTATACTTGTATCACTACAGGATTGTGCAAACAACAGTTACTTGTATCAGTATCCTTTGATAATACTGTTATGTGTATTCATACTTAGACCATAAAAGGGCAGCCATAACTGCTCCTTAGGAGGGGTTGTGATGTTAATGGAAGATCCATAATGGATCCTTTCGCAATATATGAAATGTGAAGCAACTTTGAACCAAACAGCGCGTCAAGAAACTTAAATAACTGCAGCAGATCCTGTTGCATTGTTTTAGGTCTGACGTTAAAAAGCAAAGGAATTAGTTGAGAGGACTATTCAGTTCCTTGGGCATAGACCTTCTTAGCACACTTATGATCTGGTATGTAGATAATGTGCTGCAGTGTCTAATTTTAAAAATATATATATCGCAGAGTTTTTCATTATTTTTTTAGGGACTCTACCAAACAAATAAAAAGTTGCTCTGTCTTTGCTGGTTCTTCAGCAGCAATTAATGCAAAGACCAGTATTTGCATAGATATGAGTATACCTGTTAACATCACTGAAGACTCTGTAAAAGGGAAAAAAAAAAAAAGCAAACTAAGTAGTAGCCATGTTGGCTCTTGCTGTGTAAAGAATTCATAAGAAAAAATTGCCCAGTTTGGGTGGTGGGGATAAGACAATCAGTAGAAAATGATTTTCAGGATTAAAACAAGGTTGCTATCAAACATAAGAACATTTTTTAATTGTGTATATTTAAAAAAAAATCTCATTAAAAGAAGGAGGATATTTTAGGGGACTGAAAAATGAAGCACTTTCAATTGCAGTTTGAGAATCATTTTAGGAAAGATAACCTTGTACAGAGTAGGTCTTATTTTAGGCATTAAAATATATTTTATAACCTTTCATATTTGTCACCTGCCTTGTTTTGGTGCAAAAAGTAGTTTTGTAGTCGTCTTTACATTCTCTTTATAGTTTAAGGCAGTGGCTTTCAAACTGTATTGTACATAACCCTGGGACTCTGTACTAGGTGATTAGCAGTTCCGCAAAGAGATTGAAGATAATGGCAGGGTGGGCTCGGAGGTAGTGTACCATCATTGCTAGGCTGGGTTGCTTGGCTCCACATCAGTCTTTTGGATAGTGGTAGGGGTTTCATGGCAGTAGGGATATAAAAGGGTTCTGTGACTCTAGGAAGTTTGAAAACCACTTCTTTAAGGTACCCTATTTGTACTTGTACAATAGTAGGTTTAAATCCAATGGATGGGACAACACCAAAATGTTGACTTTTGACGCAGTTGGATTCTTTATACCACAAGGTATTAAGCTGTTCACATTTAATTGCAGATGGTGAAATATTCTAAAGCACTCAGGGTTGGTCTGATTCTGCTCCTGATAAAGTTGGTGGTAAATTATACCAGTTGTGACCACTTTTAAAATCCTACCTGCAAAGTTTAAAGGGAGAGTTGAACTGTATGGATGTTTAACAGTGATAAATGTATTATTTCAGAAAATGGAAAAGTATGGTTTTGACTTTTTCTTTGAATGGAAAGCATATTCTAAATGTTAGTTAGAAGACAGGAATAATTCCATTAATCTCCCAAAACTGATCTTAGTGGCATATCTGTGAGCCCTGTGGATTCAAAATAACATGTATAAGGACAGTGTTTTCTGAAATAATAATTTCACCATGATCAAGAAAGTCTTGTGATGTAGTAAGTTCATGTACTGATCAGATGTATTTCCACACTTCATCTAGACATTCTTTGTCAATCTAATAACTCTAGTGGGTGCTAGTTTACTAATACATTTGAAATCATAGGCTTTGGACAGTATGATTGAAGGATGGAATGACATTTTCTTTGAAAAATTTACAGAAACAGTGCAAATGTGATGGTAGATATTCTGGATGATGTTGTATACCTAGAACTGCAGATTCCTCCTTGCAGGTGGATGGCACTATACTACTTTTTCAAAAACATTGCCTTTAAGAGAGATGCTGCCACCTTGATAAATTTTTGGCTCCTATACAAGAATAGCCACAGTATTTGTGTTTTAAAAGGCTGTGATCAAATTTCACTCTTCCAATCTATCTAATATCAGTACCCTATAGATGTTCACTTTCTGAATTCTCACACTTGCAGGCTCCTTATGTAGATATCTCTGCACTGAACTGCTTCAGGTACCTAGCCAATTGTGCCCAGATGGTTGTCTAGTTTATAATAGTATCAGTCAGTATTTCACATTGCTTTTTGCTTGAAGTAAACATAAAATGAGGTGTGTTTCTCTTTCCTAAACTCTGACACCTTTTCTAGAATAGATGATATATTAAAGGGGCAAAATTTTCCTGCTGGATATCCCTTTCAGGAGCAGAATGGATTTACTGTTCTGCTTACTGGCAGAAGCATCTTTATTGCTGATATAGTAAGAATTCTTATGCCATAAACCATAAAAATAAACATACTGTACTTTATTAAATATATGTCTTTTTCAATTACCCTTCAGATCTCTTTAGTATATGCAAGAAGACTGTATGAGAGAGGAGCTGGATATTTTTCTGTGTATATCATGCATCAGTTTCAGTTAGTGGCTTAATTTCCAAGAGGATGTAAGCAACAGAGTTAATAAATTCTTACTCTTAATTCCCAAAGGAGACTGGTGGTATAAATCTTAAAAACCAAAACAAAAAAACTCTACATTTTTTCTTAATTTTTAGAGTGCAGTTATCCAAAAAATCCAAAACTGCCCACATTCTGCAAAATTTAGATTCTAAACTCTTAACTTGGCTTGTTTCAGAGTTTGTGGTGTGTTACGTTTCTTTGAAACAATCATCTGTTGACCGTAGACGCCTATTTTGTGCAATTTAGAAGTACCATGGTAGCAAACTTATATTCTTCATTAAGGAGCACAATGTTCTATTCAATTAATTAAAAAAAAAAAAAAAAAAGAACTTTTTGACCTCAAAAATGAAATTTCTGATGTACACTATAAAATTTCAGGGAAGATGTCAAAGTAACAAAATATAACCAAATAGTAGGTTTGGACATTACTTACATCAACTTAAAGAGAAAATAAAAACAGCATTCTGTGACTCGTTTCAAAGAATCAGCCTGAAATACCCCAATTTATCAGTTGCTCAGTTGACAGTCCCACTGAAACCAGTGGGACTGTTCATATGAGCAAGGTTTACAGGATCAGTCCCTTGGAATGCCAAATGTGCATGCCTATACCCTGTTAAGTATTTAATGTTTGTATCCATCAGTGTTCTAATGTTAACATACTGAACATAGTAAACTAGAACTTGCACTAATGTAATGCAATAGTTGTCTCTTTTTGGTCAACATTTTCCAACATGCAGAGCATGTTTATAGGAAAACTTGCAATGACTTTTCAGCAAACGTTTAACCTTTGATGTATATCTCTGTAAAATTGTATATGAGATAAGTATATATAATGTGTTAATTTAGCTGTAACCGTTAACTTTTACATGTACTTTTTTGTACTGTGAATGACTTATTTGAAAGATTGAACAAAAGTTGGGCTTAGTTAATTTTGTGATCAGTGGTAACAGGAGCTAGCTAGTAATTGGTTTCCTGTGGTGGCTAAGAGCATTGTACTTGATCATAAAATAGTGCTGTATGTGTTTGGCAGACTAAATTTTAATAAGAGTCATCAGAGCTTACAACGTCTTGGGCATTTTGTAATCTGTAGTTATTGACTGGGAGGACAAAATGTGAGTGCTTGATATAGAATGTGCAACTTGTGTATTAAAATATTTTCAGAAATATTAAATGCTTTTTTCATATTTTGTTACTGCATTCTGTATTTTGTCCCACATACTTCCTACAATTCTGAAATATGTTAGCGTATTCTCTGTGTGATCTAGGGGTTAGAACATTGTTCACAATTGCTTGATTTATGAGGCAAGTGCTGTGTAAATATGCCAAGATAATTCTTTCATTGTTTGCTGTGAGCCCCTTTAAGTGTCAGTAACAAATTTGTGCTGAGTTTTAAAGTTGTAGGTACTTGAATGTAAATAGAATCTGTTAAATCAAGATCTCTGTTTTTCTAATGAAAAAAGTCGTCTTTGCAGAAGTCATGACTTTTTTTTCTTTTCCAGCACTACATTGTCAGTTTGTAGAAGTGGTTATAGTTTATATAGCTTGCTACACAGACAAGTGAACAAGAGTGAGTCTATCATAAAATCCGTAAAGAAGAAATGCTGCTCCTGGGGAGCAGACAAAAAGTATGCTTAGCGTCTGATTCCTTTGGCAGTATCAAAATCCCAGATACCATCCTTTTTTCATGAGGGAGGAAAATGACAGGGAATTATAGACTGATAATCAAAGAGAAGTAAGAAATAAGACACCAAGCTCTTCTACTTCAGGGATAATTTGGTTAATAAACTTCTGTATATAAACATTTTTTATGAGTTACACCTAAACCATTCAGTTTTAAAGAGTGTATCAGTTTTAAAAATTATGCCATAGAGTAAGTTTAAGAACTTGCATGGGCAGAGCGGTTTGGGTTGTGTATAAGATGTTAACAGTAGTGTTGAAATTGTTTTCCACAGTTTCTTGAATAAAAAGGTGGACATTGCAGATTTCCACATCCCACAAAGGACAAACCTTCTTTGAACATAGGCTGTTTTAAAAAGTTCCTGCTAGAGAGCAGTTCTGCCTATCACTAACTTTATTGCTCTTTGTTCTTGTTCTGCACTGTCATAAATTGTAGCTATTTATGCTAAAAAAATCAGTGTCCTTATTAACTTCTCCCAGAAAAAAAAAAAAAAATAGAAATATGTAAATTTAAATGCTGTATTACTACAACACTATAACACAGGAACTGCAGGAGAGCTAAATATCTTCAGGAGAATTTGTCCACCCTTGAACTTTTCTGTTTGTGTATGTTTCTCCACCATATAAGGGTCACAAGGAGGAAGTCCCAATACCTGCTTTTGCTAATAAAGCTACTAACTTGTTGTCATAATGTTAACATTTTCCAATTAAAGAATAGAAACAACTATTACTAGCAACCATGGATTAATGTTGCTTAGATTATATATTTTTTTTTAAACAGCTTGTTTTAAGTGGCTTGTTCTCATTGATACATAAGGCATGATTAAGGATGCCTTCAAAAAGCCAATGGTAAAAGGTTTTGACAGAACTTCACAATTAAGCTTTAAATATGGTAACAGTGCTAGTTACAAATAGCATATATTCTTTCAGTTTACCCTGCATTTGTTTTAACACTTGATTTGAGCAAATACAATTGCACTGTTTTACCAGGTATTCCAACCTTCCCCTTAATCTGCTAGCTGCTGTTGACTTATTTCGCAAGCTGTTTTAAAACTGAGCAGAAGTGACCTCGAGTGAAATTTTGTTCCTGGTAACTTGTTCTATGGTTGCCTTGGGCTGTTCAGAGAAGCTTCTTGTGCACAGACAAGCATGTGCCTGTATGCCCTAGGCATGTGTTTTTTTTCCTTAACAGGAACCAATTAGTGTTTCCTAATCTTACATGAGGGCAGAGGCCAGTGTGCACTTCTTGCCCACCTAAGCTCTGGAGCACTGTGCTGTTTGAATATTGGTTCTTGTGACCTACAGACCACTTGATAACTCTATTTTAATAAAACTATTGCTATTATGACCTTGATCTTTTTCTTCTACCTATTTCTTTTTCTTTTTAAAAATAACAAGACTAAGAGAAATCAACACAAAAATAGCAGCTGTATTGATATCAAAGGTTATGGATCTAATCTGTTATGATTACTTTAACCCTGCTTCATTCAAAGTTAGGACAGTATAGCTAACTTATGTCTGAATGATCCTCTAGCAATACAGCAGTTAGAAATGAGCAGTTGTTGCACAGTTGTGAGCAGCAGCTCATGTTTTAAAGTGGCCAAAAGGTACATTGGCCCTTAACTAGAGGCAGACTTTTCCTTTTGGGGGTGTTGCTTGTCTGGCCTAGAACCCCCTTATTTATAGTCATCTTCCCTTCTCCCCCCATTCCTGGGTCTGAGAGGAAGGAAAATCCTAGGACAACCTTACACATGCTCTGGAGAAGGGGAGGTGGGGGGGACTTTAAAGCGGCTCTCTAATTAAAGCACCTGCAGTGTCTTGTGTATTCAGCATCCCATGCTTCAGAATGGCAGCTGGGACACTTTAAAGCTTGTTTGATGACCTTTAGTTAAAGAAGTGTCCCCACCACCATTTTGAAGTACAGGGATGCTGAATACACAAGATACCAAGGCTGCTGGAACACATTAATTAGCACACTCCAGCAGGCTCTATTAATTGAGTCTGCTCTGATGCGCTGTAATTATAGCACGTTGGAGTAGGCGTACATCTACAGGCACCCACAGATGCTGCTTCAGGTCCATCTGTTTGTTGCCATGGCTTTTCCTAGATCCCTGGGGATTTAAACTATCCACCCTGTGACTATTTTTGTCTATAGGGAAAATATATCTATTACCAAGGAGACTTGTGTATTATTCCCAGGAAATATATGTTATTTACCTACTGGTCCTGGAAGAAACATGAAAACCAGGCTTCAACTCCATCTTCTGGGTAAGTCCATGGGATCTGCTGCCAGTTTCAGGATTCTGGGCTCTGCCATATGCTATGCATCTTCAGGCATCAATTTAATGAGAAGACCCTCCTCTGCAGTGGGTCCTGGGACTAAGGCCAAAACTCTACAAGAATTATACAGCTTCTCCATCACCTCCTTAAAGAGCACTTCTGGAAAAATGTCAGCAGTGTTGCTTATTTGCTTCTTTATTGTAGATTTATAGACAGATTTGCTTGCAAAGCTGGGTATGCTGACAGAAGGGAATGTTTTAGAATGTGCGTAAGACAACAGTAACCAAAACTGTCCAGTTTCATAGGTCTCAAGAGGCATCTGATCTGGGCAACTTTGTTTTATCCAAGTCCAAGAGAACTCTGGAAATTTATAAATTTGCTATATTTTAACCATCCATGTCTAAAATTCAATTTTTGGAGGGCTGTTTAATGGGGGAAGGCAGCAGAGTATTCCAGTGTCCGGACTCCTGCCCCTTGTCACCTATCCCCGCCACCACTCGTCGGCTCTGTTAGAAAGGCCAAGACTTTTTTTTTAAAAAAATCTATTGAATAGTAAGCCCTGGAAATTAAACTAACTCCTGTCTAGAAGAATTGATCATGGGCTTCCGTGACTCCTCTTAGCAGAACATTTTTTATTTTACTTTAGACAGCAAATAATTGAATGTTTGACTGTTTGACCAATGATTGACCAACCACTCTAAAATCCTTATGCCATTGGCCTCCTGGTTATTCCTTCTTATGCAAAGGTACATAGACTTAAATCAAGCAGATGTGAATGTCAGTCTTAGCCAGAAGTAACAGTATCTAGTATCTATCAGGCAATGTGATAAATGTTAATAACTGCTGAATTTCTTACCGTCTGTGATTGTACAGAAATTATTCTGCCTTTTCTGGATCAGGAAAGAACTTGTTGACTTGGTCTATTATCTTGTTATCAAACTCAACAGTAAGTAACACTCTTTACGATTCCATCGTTAGGCTTGGTCTGGAAAATGTCACTGTCTTCAGATAGTAATTGCTAAGGTATAACAGACTTTCCTGAATGTAATAAAGTTTTTTCTTAATGTAGTGCAAGAATAAAATCTATGAATCTAAGATAATAGTAAGGAAAATTCTATTCTGATAATGAACTAACATTTTGGCTGACTTAAAATTTACTAAAATGGAGAATCTGAAAGAATATGTGGAATATGAAATTTGTTTCAATCCATTTTTAGAAATATTAAATTCTCTTACATTTTGTTATTTCATTTTGTATTTGTTTCACATGTATTTGGCATCTTTTGATGGTAAGTTTTTAAGAGCTGCTGATTAAGAATGCAAGTCAAATGCAGCAGTTAAAAACAAATTACAGAGGAGGTATAAAAGACTGGTTTTGAAACTAAAAATTGAGACTCAAATATTCTATTTTTTTAAAAATAAGTATTTTATATATGAATAAAGTTTCACAGTAGTTATTCATCATTATGTTTGTATATCTGGTTTAAAATTACATTTTGTAAAATACAAATTGTTTTGTTTCTGACCTTATACTTAGTTCAGTAATTACTTTTCCATGGAGTATGGGCAAACAAACAAGTTAGATAAAAAGGGTGCATAGATTTATTTCACATCACCTACTCTGCACTGCTGTACATTCTTATCCATAACAAGTGAAAGTTAAGCTGCAGCAGTTTAGCCCTACTGTGGTTAACTTTCACTTATTGTAGAGTAAATGTATGCACACAAAAAGTTTATTACAGATGTACAGTAAGTTCCTGTACCTTTCAATTTCCTGTACTTTGTTCATATGTCCATTCCCACAGATTACCTGCAAGCCTGTAGTTCTTTAATATCATTTTTACAGTGTAAATCTCTTAAAGATTTATTGAAGTTTTTCAATTCAAAAGGGTATTTTTCTCTGTAAAACCTGGTCTTGATTTAGTTGTTTGTACAGGATCATTGTCAGGTACTGCTTTAATTTCTTGAGCAGTGTTAGAGCTACAAGAAGGTAGCTGAATTCCACTGACATCTTTTGTTTGATAACTAGGTCTTATTTTTCCTCTTTCTCTGTAAATTGGTCCATGGCCCCCGGCAGTTCTTTCCTTGGCTGCTTTGAGAAGAGGATAAAGATTTCGTGCTATTTTGGATTCTGATTCAATGACTTGCTTTGCATATTCTTGAAATTCCTGCTCCTTGTAAATTGCAATAATTTCTCTCTGAGCTTCATAATCCAGTTCTTTTTGCTTTTCCTGCTCTCTTGTTGCCCGTCTTTCAGCCTGTTAAAGGAAAGGAAATAACAGAAGCCCAAATATTTACATGCAGTGAAGCTGTAACAGAATAACTCTAAAGTTATGGAAGTCCTGAGGTAACACTGACTTTTTAAAATAATTTGGTCTAAATATCTCTTTAACATAAACATTATTATTCATAGCAGAAACTGGTTAGAGTTGCTTAACTGACATTCTTTATTTGTCCACAAAACAAATATAGAAAGCTGGAGGATATGGGTCACAGGTATGTACAGGGGTCTTTATTACAGCAGGCTCATCAAAAGCCATGGGGCCTTATGAATGTGGCTAGTATTGTCCTGGATGTGTAATTCTCAGCAGTGTTGCCTTGGCCATTTTCAAGGGGCCTAGGTCAACCTGTAAAAATATGGATAAGCAAAAGGCCCTAAAGCCTGTTGCTGAGGCTAGGGACAGAAATTACACATTCACCAGTACAAGTGATTGGAAACCAGTTCAAATCTGTAACACAATAGAAGTTCAGTGCACATAAACCACTTTCAAAATGCCGAAACTGGTTTAAGATAAACCTGGATGGATGAAGTATCAGACTTAACTGATTCAGGTTAAAAATGGTTTATGGAATTTCTGCCATAAATGAAGGGGGATTTAATAACAGCCTTCAACCACCTGAAGGATGGTTACAAAGGATATGGCTAGACTGTTCTCGGTAGTGGCAGATGATCGAACAAGGGACCAGTGGTCTCAAGTTGCAGCAAAGGAGGTTTAGGTTGGATATTAGGAAGAACTTTCTCAGTAAGAGAGTGATGAAACACTGGAACAGGTTATCTAGAGAGATACCGGAGTCTCTATCCTTGGAGGTTTTTAGAGCTCAGCTTGACAAAGCCCTGACTGGAATGAACTAGTTGGGGGTAGTCCTACTTTGAGCTGGGGGGTTAGACTAGATGACCTCCTGAGGTCCCTTCCAATCCTAATTTTCTATGATTCTATGAAACCCTCCTTTTTACTTTACTAGGGATATAAATCCCAACTGATTAACACCTTCCAGGCTCACAAAAGATCTGTTTCAGTCCAGTCCAAAAGTTTCAGTAAAACAAACTCTCCCTCTGCCTGAAGAAGGGTGTTTGTACCTGAAAGCTTGCAAAGAACAATTTTTCCAAATATTTAGTGGGTCTAGTAAAAGATACCAGATTTACCCAAAGAATCTTCTCTGTCAGTAAAACAAAGACATTTAAATAAAAACAATCAAAGATAATTTATTAGAATATTAGAATGTGCCACCTATAAATATGGGGTATAGGCTGAAGGAAAATTTGGAGAACATGGCAAAGTCAAGGAAACCTGCTGCCAATATGCATGCCACCCTCCTCCCATCTTCCCAGCTGGTATAGGTAAAAATCTATATTGTGCTTTCATGGGTAGCTAAATAAACTTTGGGATAAGATTTTGGTTTTTGTGTTTTATAGTAGAAGCAAATAAAAGGTCAAGCTGAAGACCTGTTTTTGCATCTTTTATTAGTAGCCAACCGTCAAGGTTATTTGTAATCTGGGTAACAGCAGATACCAAATTATTTTTACATAAACCAGCCTAGTTGTTGTTATTTGGTGTCATATTTTGGACCCCTGGAGATGAAAGAATCTAGATCCTATTTCTAATCCTCTGAGCTAACTGCGCTCCCACTTTAATATAAAGTCTGCTGAAAGTTCCTATACTTGAACTCTAAGAGTAACAATTCTTAATGTGCTCAGGATAAAAATATACAAGCTCTTGCTTTGAACTCAACTTTGATAATATAAACATTTAAGTTTAATACAAAAATCTTGTGCCATTAACATGCATTGAAATTTCTAAAATATCAGCTAATTCCTCTATTTACCATTTGCTGTATTTGAAATTCTTTTGTTTTTATGTTTTCATTGTGTTGTCTTTGTTTCTTTTCTTTTTCCATTTCTAGATAGATGCGATCTGCTTCTGTTAATTCCTGAAGCTTTTTCTTGGCTTCTGATCTTTCCTCTTGCTCTTTTTCTTTTTTCATTTTCATCTGTTTTGTGAAAGAAAGTTAATTCAGCCAACAGATTTGGAAAATGTATTTTTAGAAAACCCTTCTATAGGAAAGAGAAACAAAAATACTCAAAGAATCATAGAGTTAAGAAACAGTGATACTTAACTTAAGAGTTAAGATACAGTTAAGAAACGTGTCCACGAGGGGCCAGCAGGGGAGGTTATGCGTAGGGGCAACCAACACGGGTTCATTAGAGGCAGGTCCTGTCAGACCAACCTGGTGGCCTTCTATGACCTGGTCACAAAATCCTTAGATGCAGGGGTAGCAGTGGACGTAGTCTTTCTGGACTTTAGGAAGGCCTT